CTTCTCCCTCCCTCCCACTCAGAGTTTCCTCCCCACCTTGCTGCAGTGGGAGTCGAAACCTTTGCAGGACTCCAGCAAACAGTTGCTGCACATTAACTTAATTTAACTGTATGACCAAGAGCAAGGTTTTGCTGGAACTCAAGCTAATTCCAGCCTGGAGGAATGCCAGGGAAGCTCAGCCATCCAGCTCTGGGGCTGCCCAGCATGGAGGCGAGGACAGGAACACTGCTGGCACAGGCCTGGCTGTCCTTGACACGAGGATGCTGCTGCTGCCTCCTGGGACCCGAGTTCTGTCTGCCAGGAGCTGCAGGAAGGAGCAGGGACGGGCACAGGCAGTGCTTGCCCTGGTTTTCGTGGTCATCCCAAAGCTGCCAAGTGTGGGCAGCAGCTGGCTGAGGGCTGCAGGGGTGTTTGGATTGTTCTGGGGGATGTTTGGGTGAGCCTGTGGCTGTTCTGGGAGCGATGCCCCTGCACTGGGATGGAGCAAGCTCAGCTGGGGAAGCCTCTGCTCTCACAGATCATTCACCCCAGGTCCTGCCTGTTCCTCTCTGGTGCAGATCCCACCCTGCTCCTCAGGGAGAGATGTTCACAAGCTACCACACAAAATCTGGGACCCTCAGCAAGAGACTCTTCCACAGACCAAACCTTTTCTCCAATTTAAAGACAGCTTTGCTGGAGAAGTCAAGATCAGCTGGAAGGTCTCCCACAATAGAGCCAGAAGAAGGAATGTCCAGCCAGGGCAAAGCAGCTCAGGGGCAGCTGGGATGTGCTTTGTGCTGGCACCCCTGGTTTGAGCTGAGCTACAGCCACAGGGGAAGTGGACTGAGCTGCCCTCATTGAGAGAGGGAGGCAGTGACCAGGAATTCATTCATCTTTAGCAGCAATGCAGCATCAATCGCATCTCAAAACTCACCACAAATGCAGAAAAATACATCCCCTGCATGTGGGTACCACTGACCATTTCCAGCTCCTTTTATTGCAGGAGGTGTTTTTGGGGTGGCCTTGGTCCTGCAGGTCTGGAGTGCCTGATCCTGGCTGTGGCACCAGGATAACAGCCTGGACAAAGCTGTTCTGCTCCACCAGCACCAACTCTCCAAGTCATGTGGAGAGAAAATCCTCCTGGAGACCATCCATGCAGGAGACTGCACTGAGAACACACCAGGGGAAGAGGCAGGGGAGCACAAAGGGCCTTTCCCTTCAATTTTTTGGTGTAAGGAAAGCCTAAGAAGAGCAATTGGAGGAAAGGAAATGTCACTTCAAAACCAGAAACCTCATCTTGCTGGTGCCTCTTTGGCCTGAGCACAGCCTGAGAGGAGGCTCTGCTCCTTGGAGCTGCTCAGTGATGAGGGATGCTCCCTCCTCCTGCCTTCCTCCTGGGACTGCTCATCACCAGCAGGATGGACAGACAGACAGTGCACGCACTGGGGCAGGGCAGGACAGAGGGGAGAAATCCTAACAACCAGCCTAAAATTGATTCACTTCTGCTCAATCTGATTTCTCCTAACTGGATCCACATGTCCTGGCCATGGCACATTAACTTCAATTACAGCTTATTAATGTCTCCGTGATGGAGCGTGCCCTGCTGAGCACGGCGCTGACTGACGTTCTGAAGGGGAGGAAATTACTCCAGAGAGACCCCAGAGTGCCATGGAAGCACAGCCAGTGGCTCTCACCACAGCCCTGGCAGCCAGGGAAAGCTCATTCACCCGTGCCTGAGCTCGCTGCTGCACCGAGGAGAAAATTAAGCAGTGAATAGAGAGATCTGTGGGGAAAAGTCCTTCCACTTCCCTTCCCCAGCCTGCCTGGCACACACACAGCACACAGACCAAGGGCTTGCTTGTGTCTATTCCTGTCCTGACTCTCCTGCATCTCCAGTTACTCTGCAGATCAATAGGGACAGGATGGGAGAAGAAAGGGGAGGGGGGGGGGGGAAATAAGAAAAGAAAAAGATACTGAGAATAAAGAGAGTAAAAATAAACTGTCAGCCATGAGCAGAGAGATGGACCTGGCTGAGGCTGTGGGAGGAGGAGATGCAGAGGAGACCCTGAAGGAGCAGCCCACTGTCCCAAGACCCAGGAATGAAGCAGTGACCCCCAGGATTCACCAGGTCCTCTGGCCTACAGGACAAGGGAAGGCAGAAAACTCTTTCCCCTTGTCCCCATGTCCTTTGCTCTCTTTCTGCTTTTCCCAAAAGCTCTGGGAGATGGTGGTGAGGGGTTTTCCTCGGTGTGAAGGATGGGGGCCAGGAGTACATGGGCTGAGGGTTTCTCAGAAAGATCTGAACCCACCAGGTAAGGCTGCAGCACAGGAAAACACCTGGGCTTGTGGTCTGCTCTGAGGGCAAAGTGTTTTCTCTTCCCTTGACCATGAACTCGAGCTGGAAATGAGCTGCCAAGTGCCTCATCACCCTGAGGGCACTGCCAAAATCCCGGTGTGGTACAGGGACACAGGCAATGTCACACACTGAGGGCACACCCTGCCCCACACTGTGGCCAGGCACAGCTCTTTCAGCCCCTGGGGCTGCTCACTCTGCTCTCCAGGTGAAATTTCCTGGCTGTGTTTTGCCCTTGACCCCTCATTTCCTCACAATCATCTTCCCTCTTGTTTCCATGCCCCCTATAGTGGATCCCTAACACCACCCCACTTTTACCCAGGCACTTTCCTGCTGTTCCTCCTCCATGTCCTGGAAGATGCAGTGTGTGTCCATCCCCAACCCTGCCCACCCTGCCTCCCCCCTTCCCTGCACAGTGCTCCTGTCAGGCTCACATTGATTTCTCCTCTCTTCCCCTCAATAACCCATCCCTTGTTGAGCCATACACTAGATTTAATTTGGTTTTAGTCCCTGCACTGTAACTGGCTTTGCTTACAGCTGGAATTAGATTGCTTTTCAGTGCAAAAACCTGCTTGCTGGGACTGGAATAATCACAGGAGCAGAGTTAATTCACAGGGAGCTTCTCCATCTTATACACCACTTATCCACAGCTCCTCTGCTGCTCACCTTCCCTGCCCTGCACCCATGGGGGCTGGAAAAGTCAGCAGAGGACAGGACTGACCTCTTCTCTGTCCAGGATGAGTGTCCTTCTCTCCTGGGAACCAACCCAGCAAGCTGAAGCAGCGCAAGCAGCATCATCCTGTAGCTCAGAACTCGGGAGTTCGGGCTGACAAAAGCAGATTTCAGCGCTTTCCCTGCTCCCAGGCAAGGAAACCCCCTCTCCTCGCGGCGGCCCTGCAGGATTTGCTCGGGGTGTGCCCAGGAGGCTGCGGCCGGGCAGTTTCTGGGGAGCGGAGCCAGGAGCGGAGCCGGAGCCGCTGCGCTGCAGCAGCCGCGGGCAGGCGGCCACGGCGGCACCGCGCCAGCGCCGGGAGAGCCCGGCGGGCATCGGCCAACAAACCCCGACCTGTCTCGGCTTGGCCCCGGCTAAAAAGCAGCATTGCAGCTTGCACGGGGCGCTGGCAGCCCGGCCGTGCCCGCCCCCAGCTGCCCTCGCGGTGGATGTGGAGTTTTGGACGTCTCGTAGAGGTTGCGACTGCTCCAGCCCTGGGTGTGTTTGAGAGGGTTTTTTTCTTCCCCTTCCCTAGCTGCCTCTTTGCACAGAATTTTTAGGGATCTTCTGTCTTGAACCAACCTCTGTTTCTATTAAATGGTATTAAATTTGGCCATTAAAAAGCTGATGGGGGGGCTGGGGACGGGGGAGGAGGACAACTGAGAGCAAGGTGCTGGTCTGGGGAGAATCCCTCCAGCACGGCCTCAAGGCCAAAGTACTGAAGCAACAAATCCTGCCCAATGCAGGCAGGAAAGGTAAATGGCTCAGAGGAGGAAGGAGTTCACGGGACACCAAGGGTATTTTAACTCTTTGAAGCATCAAGCATCCCCGGGCTGCTGTGGGAGCAGTAGCAAGTCCTTGGTTATCTGTGCTGATCCTGGAAGCCAAAGCTCATTGCACAAACACTGACATCAAACACTGAGTCCCAATTTATCAGACACATGTGGAGGTGCTCTCCCACTCCTCTGCCCACATGCCTGAGCCCCCCAGGGCTCTCCCTGAGCAGTCCCCACAGTGGGCACCCCAAAATGCCCCCAGCCCAGCTGAGAGCCACAGCTGCTCATCCCAGATAAGCACCACGCCGTGAGAAAGACCCTCACTGCTGCCTCCTGCCTGCCCTGGCGGGTGGAAAGGGCTCTCCCATCCCTCACTGCAGCTTCCTTCCCCTTGGAGCCTGTTCAAAGCCAGCCTCGGTGGCACCTGCAAACATTTCTGCTTGCAAGTCTCAGAAGCAAACCGTTTGGAACCGATACAAACGGCTCCTCTGTCGCTGTGGTGATGCTTGTTAGCATGGGGTGGGTGATGGGGAGATTTTTCCCCTCTCTCCTGTAAGTCTCTCACAAGCTGGATGGGAAATCAGCCATCTCGGCACTTTTCCACCTTACTTTGCTTTTTCGGTTGATGTCATAATGTAACATATGGCATCGTATAGAGAAATGAGAAACAAAGCCCAGGAGAAACAAACCCCCTCCTGCTTCCTCTGCCCCAGATGTGTCAGGGGGTTTACCCTTACCCCAAACTTCATCTGACAGGGCTGGGGCTGCTCAGGGTGGGCAGGACTGAGTGGGGATGACCCACCCTGCTTGTACTGGCAGGGAGCTGGAGTTTTGTGGGGTGAGCCTCATTCCGTGCCCCATATCCACCAGCATCAGCCCTGAGACATCTGGGCAAAGGCTGGCTGTGTTTGTACAGCTGGGACAGGGGATTGGAGGGAGCTCAGACCCTGAGTGTCCATCCAAGCCACATCCCAGCTCCCCCAGCCCCAGCTGCAGGAGGACACAGCCCTGGAGGTGCCCCTGCCATTCCCTGCAAGGACACACCTGCTGCTCTGCCTGGGGGGAAGGGGTGTTAGAGGGACAAATGGATATCTCTGGGTCGATAGAAACGCTGATGGCTCAGTTTTCCAGCAAGGATCCCTCCAAGAAGCAACGCCCAGAGAAACCCAGCAGCCGTTACCTGCCGGTGACTTCGATGTTGGAGACGGCGTAGAAATACTTGTACAGGTTCTCCCTCTGCACGTAGGTGCCGCCCAGGGCAGGCCTCAGCAGCCTCATGCGCAGGTCGGTGACGGTGAAGAAGTCCTTGAGCCCTTTGGCGCTCTCCAGCCGCGTGTACAGGTTGTCCATGTTCTTGAGGTCGGGGCCGGCGAAGATGGCGAAGCGATCCCGCACCTCAAACCGGACGGTCTTCTCCTTCTTGGAGCCCGCCCAGCGGGAATACTCCTCGGTGCAGAGGACCCTGTTGGCACTGGTGGTGGAGAGGTCCCGGACTCTCCTTGCTGGCATGCTGAAGGCCTCCATGCAGTCGTCTGCATAATACTGGTACGGGTGCCAAGTCCTCCCGTTGTCCAGAGACTTCTCCAGCATCATGATGGTGGGGCGCCCGTACTCGAAGGTGATGACGATGTCGTCGGTGAGCTCGATGCTCTTGTTCCAGGACAGGGTGATGTTGGCCAGCAGCGGCTCCGGGTACCGGCGCCAGGTCACGCTCTGCCAGTAGGTGGCCAGGCCCTCGTCCTCGCTGTCGAACATCAGCTTGGGCGGGTGCGCCAGGTCGGGGTTGGAGGCGTCGCACTCGTCACTGCACAGGTACGGGTTCTCCTGGAACGACAGCACCGGTCACTATTGGAACAGTTACCAATATTGTGTATGGGACATGCCTGAGCTTGGCTGGCCCTTGCTGCTTGACCAGATAGCGGCAGCTGTGGTGTTTTCACCCCACAGACACTTTTGACTGGCTGGGTGTGTGGTGTTTCACCCCACAGACACTTTTGGCTGGCTGGGTGTGTGGTGTTTCACCCCACAGACACTTTTGGCTGCCTGGGTGTGTGGTGTTTCACCCCAGGGACACTTTTGGCCGGCTGGGTGTGTGGTGTTTCACCCACAGACACTTTTGGCTGGCTGGGTGTGTGGTGTTTCACCCCAGAGACACTTTTGGCTGCCTGGGTGTGTGGTGTTTCACCCCACAGACACTTTTGGCTGGCTGGATGTGTGGTGTTTCACCCCAGAGACACTTTTGGCTGGCTGGATGTGTGGTGTTTCACCCCTTGGCTAGCTGTGTGCTTCAGCTGGGCACATGGAGACAAGTTCAGGCATTCAGGAGCTCTGGTGGCTGTGGATGGAGCTTTCACTGTAACAGGGGCTGCTCCTCAGGGTTACCTCTGGCAGAGAAGTTTTAGGGTGATGGTGAAGGAAAGGAGTTGGTTCTGATGGAGGGTTTGGATCCAGAGCTTTATTCTGGCCCTCAGGCCTCTGAATGCAGCACCAGCTCCAACAGAACTCCCCAACCCCGGGGTTGCTGCTCCTTTAACCCTGGGGAGAGGGGCAGGGAAGGAACATGGGAACCACCAACCAGGTAGGGGGGGAGGTCTCAAGGGACAAAGGACACCTGGATGGCCCAATGTCCCTCCAGGAGTGGAGAGCATCTTTTGAATTCTGCCAATCACCTTTCTGGAATGCCAGGATTGACAGACAGCGCTCAGCAGGGGTCAGGGTGTGGAAAGGAGGGATGATTGACACACCTGGGCAAGGAATCTTCAGGGAGAAACCTGGGGTATCTGAGGCAAACCATGACATCACACCACAACAGGTCCCCTGAGAGGAAAGCAAAGCCTGGGCATGGCGTGGGCAGTATGGGCACATGGGCCCTGGGTTGGGCTGCTTGGGTCAAGCCTTAACTGCTGGGCTGGGCTGGAGGGTGCCAGGGCTCTGGAGAATGCTGGTTCTGAGTGAATTTAAGGCAGAAAGATGTGGCTTTGCCTCAGCTCTAAGAACGGCTGAGCTGCTTCCTTTGAAAGGCCCTTTGGGAAAGGGCTTTTCAATTTGGCACGGGGCAATTTTCATAGAAAGCTCCTTGCCTGAGATGGTCTCTGAGAAACCTGGGTTAAGCTTGGCTGATTTACAAGCCTACAGAAAGCTGTGCTCATCCCTGCAGCCTTGGAGGAACTGAATGGCTGCAATCCCCCAAGCACAGCCCTGCCTCTCATGGCTCCTGATGCTGAAAAGGTTGGGACAGCCCAGTGCCAGCTGTCCCAGTGCCTCTGAGCACAGCTGGAGGAGGGAAACCCAATTTCTCCAGCTCCAAGCTGGGACAGAATTGAGCAGTAGCAGAGAGAGCAGGGATTTGTGCTCCTGGTGCCTTGGTCCTCACCTACCCACAGGGAACAGGGTGGGAAGGATGGTTCATCCCATCCAGGTGACAATGTCCACTGCCCCCAGGCCTGAGCAGTGGGACAGAGCATCCAGCCATCCCATTTTGCCCACACAGCCAGGCTGCTGTGTTTTGCAGGGACAAAAGATCTCTTTAACCTCCCCATGCCCACGTGCTGAGCTGCACTAGGACACAGTGTCAAGGTCGTGTTGAAGTTTTGGGGGTGGGCAGCTGTGCCAATGCCTTTATTGCTCACCCATATGTTTGTCAAAGCCCAGCACCACTGCCCTGCAGCCTCTGCCTCCAGGAGTGAGCACATGGCTCACCCCTGCCTTGGGGATTGTGCATGGCTGTGTTCTCCTGGGTACAGACCACAAAAAACTCTGCAGCACACTGCAAATCCGCTTTTTTTTTTGCATATGAAGCATCTCTTTGCTGTCACTTTGCCTCCCTCTCAGAATCAAAATCCAAAGGATTGGGGAGGGAGAGGGATTGGTATGACAGCGGGCTCTGCTGCTGTGGGACCCTGCTCAGGAAGGCAGAGGCACCTGGCAGAGGAGGAGGAGGAGGTGATAAAGCAGCTGGAGCTGCTCAGAGCTGCTGCCTGGAGGTGAGGATCCTGCTGGAGGCGAGGTCTGGCTCTCCTGAGCACAGCAGCTTTCAAGGTAAGGCCGAGCTGGGTGCTGTGCTCTGGTTTGTGGGTGCTCTGTGCATGGTTGGGAGCCATGGGGAGGTGCTGTGTGTGGGATCAGCGTGTTCCTGTCTGCCCTGGGGGCTTCCTGCAGTGCCAGGGCTGTGCCAGGGTGTGGGGAGCAGACACTGGTACCTGGAGGCTCCAAAAAGTGACTGCAGGCTGGCTCTGAGCAGGCTGGGTGTGTCTGGCTGCTGCAGGTGTGGGCAGAGGCTGCTCCTGTGTCCATGGCTGGCTTGGACCCAGGGAACTGCTGGAGTCTGAGTGCTGTGAGCAGCTTTTAGGGTGCCCTGGGCACAGCCAGGCACAGCAGAGGAGGGGATCTGGCTGGTACAAGAGGATGCTCTCAGGTGCAAAGTGGGGCTGTGCTTTGAACGTGGAAACTTCTGAGTAACACAAGGTGCTCTGGAAAATCCTAGCTTTGCCATCTCCTGCCAGGCAGCCAAAAGTCTTGGAAATGACTTAGAGCTTCTCCACTCCATGTGTGTAAAATGGGCCTTTGGTGCCTCCTCAGAGCTCAGAGATGTGCACTGTTTGCAAAGTCAGCGGAGGCCACAGCACCCAGGAGCCCTGAGAAACTCCTGAGGACACAAATAATTCTGTGTCTGGAGCAGCATGTGAGCAGCACAGTGTAAATAAGGCAGGAGGCTGCTCTGTCAGCACAGGGGGAAAACAGAGCAGTGAGTGGCTGATCTGTAGGTGAGAGCCAGGCTCCTGTGCAGGGGAGGCAGCCCTGGGGACACAGGGGACTCCTGTAAACACAGCACACGTTGTGTCTGTGTTGTGTGCACGAGGCAAAGCAGCACGTGAGAAAAACAGGTCAAAACTCAAAGTGTTTTCAACCCAGTCTTGCTCTGACACACCCCAGCCTGGCAGTGAGGCTGCAAAAGCTGTGCTGGGGTTTGTTTCTCCTGTCACAGCCTCAGCTTGGGCCATGTGTGGCTTTTGTCACCTCTGTGTGTGCTGGAAGGAAGGGCTGGGACTGGAGCTGCTGAGTGCCCACCCTGCAGCAGGGAGGTTACTCACAAACAAATGCTTGGGTTGATGTTTTAAAGTCAAATAGCCGAATTATTTATTTATTAAGTTAGTTAGTTTGCAGCTGTGATAACGGAGCAAGGGAAATCAGTGGAGTGCTCAGGCTTGCTTTGGTGGGTGAGGTTAAGAAGTGAGGGCACCCCACGACCCCCTCAAAGAAGGGGAGATGCCAGCTGGGCTGTGCTGGGGCTCTGAGCCACTCTGGGGGGCCCTCTCCTGCCACAACAAGCTGCTCTGGAGTAGGGATTAAAAAACCCTGAGATATTGACATATTTAATATGCTCTCCTGACTCGTCACGTTCAGAGGAATTGTTTACCTCTGCTAATGAGACACAGCTTCCTGCTGGGGGATGGAGCTGCCTCTCAGCTCGGCTTTACAGTGGTGGCTGAGGGAAAAGGCACAAAAATCCCCCTCAGCTGAAGTGCTGGGGGCTCTGAGTGTGTTTCCTGTGCTGAGGCAACATATTGTGTTGCAGTATGGTCCTCCTGTCAATGTGGCCATACAGATGGCTTAATATGACAGCCCTGAAAAGACCATCCCAGAGGTCCATTTCTGCCACTTGTGTGAAGGAGAGTGCAGCAGGTGGAGGATTGGCTTGGGATGGCAGCAGAAAACTCCCTGATAAACCTGCCCTGCTGCTCAGTGGCTCTGTCTGAGCAGAGTTTGTGTCTCAGAGCTGTCCTGGCAAGAGAGCTCTTGCCATGAGCCTTCCTGTCCTTGTGTGCAGCAGGCACAGCCCTTGAGCTGCTGTGAGATGAATCTCACTGATTATTTGCCCCTTGAGCTGCTGTGAGATGAATCTCACTGATTATTTGCCCCTTGAGCTGGTGCGAGATGAATCTCACTGGGTATTTGTCCCCTGAGCTGGTGTGAGATGAATCTCGCTGGGTATTTGCCCCTTGAGCTGGTGTGAGATGAATCTCACTGGGTATTTGCCCCTTGAGCTGCTGTGAGATGAACCTCGCTGGGTATTTGCCCTTGAGCTGGTGTGAGATGAATCTCACTGGGTATTTGCCCCCTGAGCTGGTGTGAGATGAATCTCACTGATTATTTGCCCCTTGAGCTGGTGTGAGATGAATCTCACTGAGTATTTGCCCCTTGAGCTGGTGTGAGATGAATCTTGCTGGGTATTTGCCCCTTGAGCTGTGCCCAGCATGGCCACAGTGGCCACCTCCAGGGCTGGGGATGATGCTCCTATCTCCCAAAGCTTTCTTTGGAGTAGCCAAATTAAACAAACAAAGGGTTCTGTGATGAAACCACACTAAGGAAATATTACCCTGACAAAAGGCTGGCCAGGATGGGAGGTGGGACAGATTTCCCAGGAGCAGTGAGGGGAGCAGCTGAGTCTGATCCAGCATGATCCCCCTCCCCATGTCCTGTCTGGAGGAACAGGGCTGGCCCTGGGAGGGTCCTGGCAGGTCAGGAGCAGGGAGCAGAGGAGTGCAAACCCTGCCATATGCTCATCCCAGAGAATGAAGGTGCACAATCCCTGCTGGCTCCCGTGTATCCCAGCCTGGGAATGTGCTCAGCTCAGCAGGCAGCACCCCCAAAGATCTCCTGAACCATCCTGGTGCTCTGGGGAGGCAAATGGCTCGAGAGGTGCATGGTTGTAACAGGGCAAACACAAAAATAACCTGCAAGTGACAAGGTGGGGGAGAGCCTCAAAAGCCACCGAGTGAGTCACACCACTACAGCTTCCTCTGCTAAAATGAAGTGTTCCTTTT